GGGCAGCCTGTTCCAATGTTTCACCACTCTTTCAGTAAAGAAATTTTTCCTCACATCCAATCTAAACCTCCCCTGGCGCAACTTGAGGCCATTTCCTCTTGTCCTATCGCTAGTTAGTTGGGAGAAGAGACCAACACCCACCTCGCTACACCCTCCTTTCAGGTAGTTGTAGAGAGCGATGAGGTCTCCCCTCAGCCTCCTTTTCTCCAGGCTAAACAGTCCCAGTTCCCTCAGCTGCTCCTCATAAGACTTGTTCTCCAGACCCCTCACCAGCCTCAAGTGCATCTTTATGCACTAAAGATAATTTGAGCCATGGGAGATGATACCATTCAACAGGAGCGGTGAGGCTGTGAAGACCGAAGCATTATGAACCTTGAAAAGAAGTGGGAGAAGTTTATATGCTACAATAACTTGTAAAGGGCATAAGCGAAGTCCTCAAGCTGTATTCCAAGAGATGCTCAGAGAATATCAGCTTCAGAACTGCTTCACAAAAAAACTGTATCTTTAGAGAAAGAATTGTTTGGGCAAGGCCTCGTGAAAGCTGCATGCTGTCACTGTTCCTGTTCCTTGGGAACATAAACAGGATCTAGGGACAGCTTGTGCAAGAAAACAGTTGGAATAGGGAATATCATGGTTTTCAGCAGCCAACTTGATTACCATCATCGCCCCCACGTAGGAGGAAAGCTTCAAGAGGTATTTAGAAGGATGGTGGGTCCCACCTGGCTATAGCAGAACTACCAGTGAAACTGCACTTTAGGAGTCCGGGTCAGGTCTTAAGTGCAGTTATAAAGAGACTAACTCTTCAGTGGGTTGAGAAGTTCAGCTTCTAATGTGCTTTCACAGCCGGGCTTCTCAAGTGCTTGTTGCTTACTCTGTTAGCGGTAGGAATAAATGAGAGGGGTGGACTGTGCTGTTAAGGGATCCAACACATTTAACAGTATGAGGGCCCTTGTGGTGAAATCGCATCCAGTACCTTTTTCGGAGTGACCATTAGGGTCGATTATGCATCACAGTTTTTATTTAGTTGAGTGTCTCTAACTTTCTGAAACCCAAATTTCAAGGAGTGTTAGTCTTTGCCTGAAGGCAGTATTTTTCATACTTGAACGAAAATAGTTCAAACGCTATTGGGGGGGTGTGTGTGTGTGAAAAGTAGCCAAAAATACACCTTTTTCCTGATTAAAATGCTTTTCTAGTTGAAACAGCCATGGTTTGGAAATTAAAATTTGTAATGGATACAGTCTTCACTGGGAAAGTAAACTCAAAAGATGAATGCCATAAGGAGGATGAAATCTCTGTGGGCACACAGCTTTGCAGTGAGCTAATAACAGATGGAGATTTACCATTTTGACAAAGAAACCTTTGGTCTCCTGTTGTCCATTACTGCAGCGGCAGGAACCCTTGATCCCAGCAGAATGCTGTAGGTTGTCTTCTGCTCCCGTTCTACTGAATCAAAAAAACCCCAGGTTTCTCCCATCTGCAGCCCTGCGACCCCGGGTTGAGCCACAGTCCTAGGGTTAGGAAGAAGCCCACTTCAGCACTACTATACTATACAAATAGCCATGAGTTCGAAGAGAGAACTGGAAATGACCAAAACTCCTGTGTACTTTTAAAAGTGTACAAAGGGCTCCAATTCAGAAAAACATTCCTTTTTGGGGAGTATTCTTTAAGCACAGGCATTACTTTTTTTTTTCTTTTTTATTCTATCCCCTCAAGACAAGAGAATGGTGACACAAAATAAACCTGTTTATAGAGAACTACTACCAGCTAAAGTGCATTCACCTTAAAAAAGCAGAAGTAGTGCAATGCTATATCTACAGTAATAAGATTTGTTCTTCTGAATTGCTGATGAGCCTAGACAGAGCATTGTGCTGGTGTGTCTACACTGGTTCTAATTCCAAACGTTGGTTATTTTTCGTTAGATGAGGAGCCTGTGCAGCATTGACCTCCCTTTCTGATTTCTGTGACACAATTAGCCCATGGTTCTGCTTATGTTTTCAAGCCTAAAATGCCAGAAAGTAATCTGCGCCATATCCTAAGTCATTATTTGGATTCTGAAGTTGGAATGAGGCCTCCTGACTGGCCCCTGAGCTTATTTGAAAATTTTCTTGGAAGTAATGGGCTTGATTTTTTTCCCCCCCCTGAGAAAAAAAAACCCCCCCCCCGCTTTCCCTGGTTGTTGAAGAGGGCTTTCTTAATATAATCCATGAGTTTTTTCCCGAGTAAGGACATAACTATTTTACTTGCTGTGTATAGTTACTTGTGGCAGTTGCTTCATCATTGGTTTGCAGTTCCAGAAGTGAGAGCAATGATATGAGCAAGTACTTTGAAAAAGATCAATTGACTGATGTTGTGAATTCTATGTAGAAAATTCAAGAGATATCAGTAAGTGTTGTGCTATATTCTGTCCTAGCCTTCCCTCTTCCCATAACTAATCAACTGTATATGATTCTCATTGACCTGCTCCAGGTGACTTCAGATATTCAAGGAAAATCAAACCTCAAGGAAAATCAAACCCTTACAGATACCGAACTTCCTTATTGCTAAGAGGTTGCAGAAGGCTGACATCTTCTGAAATGTTTTCCAATAACGATACTTTTTTTTCTTGTCTTTAATGTTTAGATGGAATGAATGTGGTTCTTCTGAAAGTGGGGGACTAGACTATAAACGTGAGTCAGGCACAGTGGAGTCTGTTGCCATACAAGTCGTGGAATATTGCTAACGAACTTCGGTCGTTGTACAGTCAGTAGCTTTGCTTTCACAGTTTTCAGGCTCTGCATAAACTTTACAGCAAGCAAGAATCACGAGAAAGCAAAGTGAAATATGTTTCCCTTCTGATATTTGTTTTTAAAGCCTTTATGGAGAGCTAACACTTGCTCTCCTGTTAACACTCTATTAACGTACCTCATTCCTGACCTGCCATACTCCTCATTCTTGCAATTCCAGCTCTTGGGCCTCTCTCAAGCAGAAGTTCACCGGCTGTTCTTGAGCCACATCCCTTGCTTTTCACAAGAGGATTAGGGCACTCCTTTCAGACAACGGTCTCCTGCCCCGCAGTGCTAAGCGTGCTCACCCGTACATAGGAATGTGGGCCTCCTGCTTAAGAAGCTGCCTCCATTTCTACTTCTTGCTCGTACATACCTGTCTAAATCATTTCATCTCGAGGTCACAGGTTTCTCAGTTTGTAAAATGAAAGATATTACTAAAGTGGCAACGATTGGTATTGTCAGTTTAATGAGGTTTTCTGTAGGTTTTGCTCTGGGTTTAACTCCAACCTGTAGCTAAAATAGCTCTTTAAGGTCCTCTGTCTGTGCGTGTTGTATGTCAGGTGTTCTGTTAACTACGGTTATTTAATTGAAGTCTTTCAAGATGGCAGTGAACACACTCTCACAGCGAGCTGTTTCCGACGCTCCGTTTCTTTTACTGGGTGGATCGTAGCATGTGCCAGTTAGGGCTGCCTTGAGGAGAGGGGCTGCTTTATCTGCAAGCACTATGCCCCTCTGCTTAACTAGCAGAGTAACGCTAGATTTTGTATTTACTCCTTTTCTTTTCCAGTCAGAAGAATGTGCACGGAGCAGGAAGGACTTCATGTAAAAACTACTAGGAAAATATGCTGAAGAGCAGTTGTCAGGGTGGTGCCCAGCATGGGAAGGGGATGCTGTACCTTTGTGCTTTGATAGGAGAGGGCTAAATGCTTCCTCGTTCTCTACAAGAAAATGGGGGTTTTGGACAAAATTCACTGTGATGAAGTCCATGCACCAATTTATTCCTATTTAGGTCATCGGAATAGCGCTTCAGTGGTGCAGTCTGTATATTGGCTCTCTATACAGGGATACATTTCACCCTCAGTGAATGCTTTTTGTTTTCTCAGTTGAGGTCAGTTTTTCATTGCATTCATTAAAAGAAATAGCTTTGGATTGCGAATACCACTGCCCCTCTCCTTCCCTGCCAGCAAGCTGGCGTTACAGTCCTGAAGATGTTAGAAAAGGGGTAAATTAGGAAGGGAAAGAAATGGAAGTTCAGAGGATGAAGCTGTTATCACTTATCTGACAGTTGTACTGTTGCCTACTTCTGATGGACTTAAGATTTTTTGCCTGGATTTCTCCACTGTTCCTCTGTCTATCTTACCAGATGCCAATCAGGAGAAAGAAGGATAGTTATTTGATGTAAAGATTGTCTAAAGGATGATTGATACCAGCAGAGTTTAAACGCAACCTTATGTAAATATGCTCTAGTTGTTGTAGCTTTAGCTATCGTGCAGAGCATTCACGAGGTCAAGGATGGAATTTTTAAACAGGAACTAAGAAAACCAACCACAAGGATTTAGCTATCGTGCAGAGCATTCACGAGGTCAAGGATGGAATTTTGTAACAGGAACTTATCTTAGAATAACAACCACAAGGACTTGAGCAATTAAGGATGTATAGAATGCTTACAAAGATTTTGGAAAAATAACATCCATAGTGGCGTCCTGAAGTTAACCGCCTCGGAATGAGTAGGGGGCACCTACCCAAACGACCACCGACGACCACTTGGGACCCCCGTGCATGCTTAGAATAGTTTTGCAAGGTTAGCAATATGTAAATGTAGTAGATAAGAAGGGTCAATGTGACGTATATGCCATACTAATGAATTATGCAAACTTGAGTGTATAAATATGCTAAGTTTTCTGTTTAACCTTACACTTGATTTGGTGTAAGTGTGTCCGATTCTGCGCACTATTGAATAAAGCAATGTCTCCTTTCTAAACGTAGCCTTTTATCTGCGTTTCGGGAGTTAGAGTAAAACGATAACACGAGGACCATGTTTCTCAAATGATTCCTTCAAGAAAAATTTCATCCAAGCCTATAAAGGTTATCCTGTGGCAGCATCGTCCTAGTGCCTCTGTCGGAGGCTCTCGTTCCTTCACTTGAATGCTCAAGAATTGGTTGTTTTCTGGCGACCCAGATGGGACCTCTAATTTGGACTAGACCTTGACTCGCTGTGTACCGCTGGAGGGGAGCTCTCACTGCCTGGACTCTGGCGCGCACCAGAGGATTTCTCCGGGGACTCCATCCGTGATCTCCCCGCTGGAGGGTGAGTAGCGAACCAAAGTTCTTAGAGACATTGCAATCAGGTAATTTAGTTCCCCCGAGTAAATCGTATCCACTATTAGGTATGTATCGGAGGGATAACAAGGTTAAATTTTGAAGTATTGGAAATCTCCTCATACGCTATTACGGTGACGACCGGAGTATGGGGAGTCGGGTTGAGAGCACTTCTCTTGGCAGCATTGGTAATTGTTAAAAGTCTGTTTGTTAGTCTGTTTGTTCCGCTTGTGTTCTGTGTTATCAAAATGGGTAATGTACCCTCGGCAGAAGGCGGCATTACCAAATGTTCGCCGTTAGGATGCATTCTGGGAAATTGGAATAAGTTTGGGAGCGATCCCCTTACATGAAAGAAATTAATTATGTACTGTAATGACCAGTGGCCCCCGGTGGAAAACGGGGAAAAATGGCTGCGGCTTGGGACTGTTAATTATAATACTATTTTGCAGTTAATGTTGTTTTGTAAAAGGGAAAAGAAATGGGATGAGGTGCCATATGTCCAGTTGTTTTTCCCGTTGCGGGGCAATTTGAAATCCGGAAGAAGTGTGGGTTAGTCTGAAAAGATGTGAATGTGTTATTAATGGAAAAAGATCAGAAAGGACAGAAAGGGTTGTCACGATGTTGTTCAGCCTGTAGTGTTGGGTTAAGATGTAAAAAGCTTAAAGATAATGAGGAGGATGAGGATGTGGAGTTGTTGGTTGCCCCTTGAAAGATGAGTGGACGTGATAAAGGAATATGAGACAGTCAGGAGGAGGAGATGCCCTTGGCTGGAATCTGATGGGGAGGAAAGTGATGTAGAAAGTAGAGCTGGTAACGATCCTGTTAGTCCAATTGCTAGATGAACGAGGGACAAGAAACCAATTATACAAGCCCCCTTTAGGCTGTGGGGCCAGAAGGAGCCCCAGTATATGTGAAAGTGCCCTTTTCTACAGCAGATCTTAAAAATTGGAAAGATATGGCAGGGTCTTATAGGGAAGACCTGGATAAGGTAGCCAGGACTGTTGAGATTATAATTGAAAATCATGATCCTGACTGGCAGGATATGTAGGTGCTAATGAATACCCTTCTTGTGTATGAAGAAAGGAGAACTGCGCTGGCAAAAGCTAGGGAAGAAAATGAGAGTTTGCATAAACAGCACAGAAGTGAAAGACTGAAGGAATTTTTGCCAACTGATGACCTGGCTTGGGATCCAAATGATGTTACTCAGAGATTGTTAATTTCAGGATATCAATAATTGATTCTGTTAGGGATTAAGAATGGGATCCCAAAACCCAAAAATTTGTCTGAATTATGTCAGGTTGTACAAGGGAAAGAAGAGACTCCCTCGGCTTTCTATGAAAGATTGTGTGAGGTAGCCAGGCAGTGGACAGATTTGGATCCCGAAAGGGAATCGGACAACCTCACTTTTGTAACCTTATTTGTAGGGCAGTCAAATCCCGATATCAGGAGAAAGCTTCGGAAAATTGAGGGGCCTAATGGCCGATCAATCGAGCATCTGCTAGAAGTTGCTTGGAGAGTGTATAATAACAGAGAGGAGGTAGAAAAGAAGAAGCAGGAAAAATAGCAAGTGAAGAAAGACACTAGGAAGGCACAGCTATTGGCGGCAGTAATAAAGCAAAAAAAACAGAGGAAGGGGCTCAGATTGACGGGGACCGGAGGTAGATTCAAACTCCCCAGCAGAACCTCTGGTTACAATAAAGCTGGGGAATGAAAAGGTTATTTCCTGGTAGATACAGGAGCTACATACTCTGTTTTGAATTCTTGTAAAGGGCCTTTAAGTAAATTTACAATGCTGGTTGTTGGTGTGACAGGGAAATGAGAGGTGAAGCCCTTTTTCCAGCCCCTCAGGTGCGAGGTAGGAAAACGGACCTTCACCCATGAATTTTTATACATACCTGAATGCCTACTACCTCTATTGGGAAGAGATTTGCTAACCAAACTAAGAGCTCAAATTACCTTTCAAAAAGGAAAAATATGTGTCCATATCCCAGAGGAATACGCCGTGGAGGTGCAAGTGTTTGTTTTACAGAATCATAATCAGGATCAACAGGAAAGTTCGAACACCATTCCGGAGGATGTGATGAATGCCGTTAACCCTCTCGTATGGGCTACAGGAATACTGGGAAGAGCGAAGGCCGTGGAACCAGTAAAGATACCTCTCAAGCCAGGAGCTAAACCGATGATTGAACAGGTGTATTCCAGTCGACCGGACCTGCAGGATACTCCACTGGAAACAGCTGAGCTGGAATTGTTTGTGGACGGCAGCAGTTTTATGACAGAAAGATACCGGAAAGCTGGATACGCTATTGTCACCACGGGTTCCGAGATAGAAGCAAAATCCCTCCCAGCCAACACTTAGCTCAAGAGGCAGAATTGGTGGCCTTGATTCGAGCCTTGGAAATTGCTAAAGGAAAAACTGTAAATATTTGGACAGATTCTAAGTATGCCTTTAGTGTGGTGCATGCGCATGGGGCTATTCAGAGAGAGAGAGGACTCTTATCATCACAAGGTAACCCCATAAAGTATGGGGAACTTACCTTAAAATTACTACAAGTAATAAATTTACCTAAACAAGTAGCAATTATGCACTGCAAGGCCCATAGATTTGGAAATAAACCTGAAGTAACTGGGAATCGAAAGGCAGATTAAGCCATGAAAAGAGCAGCAGGGATAGCTGAGCTACTAGTCTTTGTGCCAGACAAGTACCAGGAAATGGGAACCGCCCCCTCTTATGGGTCAGAAGACAATGTTAGCTGAATTATTAAAAGGAATTAAAACGGAAAGTGGATGGTGGATGACCCCAGACAAGCGACTCATTGTGATGGCAATAGTAATGAAGGAAATCATGCAGAGGGTGCACCAACAAACGCATGTAGGAGCAGAAGCCCTAGTGGATTTACTAAAACCCAATATTCTTGGAGTTGGAATGTTAGGAACAGCTAAAAGTATCATTAGGAAATGTGAACTGTGTCTAAAGAACAATCCAAAGATACAATCAAGGCTGCCGCCTGGAGATGTGAAGAAAGGAAATACCCCAGGAGACTATTGGCAAATAGATTTTCCAGAATTACCATGGCAAAATGGGTACAGGTACTTGTTAGTACTTGTAGATACGTTCTCAGGTTGGCCTGAGGCCTTTCCATGTCGTACCAACCAAGTGAAAGAAGTAGTGAAGGTTTTGTTGAAAGAAATTATCTCGAGATTTGGCGTACCTTTAGGAATATCATCAGGCAGAGGGCCTCATTTCATAGCAAAAGTAGTACAAGAGTTAGTAAAGGAGTTAGGCATAAAATGGGATCTACATACCCCTTGGAGACCACAATCCAGTGGAAAAGTGGAAAGAATGAACCAAACCTTAAAAAAGGCATATTAGCAAAATTTGTCAAGAAGCAAAGATGAGGTGGGTGGATGCCCTACCTTTAGCATTATTAAGAATAAGGATAACACCAAAGTCGAAGCAAAAAGTCAGTCCTTTTGAAATTGTGTATGGAAAACCTTATATGGTAAGCAATACTGAGCCACTGACTGTAACAATAATTGGAAATCAAAACATTAAGGAATATTTAATATCTTTAGGGAAAGTATTGCACTCTCTTGACAGGTTTCTGCAGTTGAGGGCACCCGTAGGACTCGACTCACCGGTTCATCCCTTCCAACCCGGAGATTATGTCTACCTACAGATGTGGAGCAATGAACCTTTGAAAGAAAGATGGAAAGGATCCTTCCAGATTCTGTTAACCACATACACCGCTGTGAAGCTTGAGGGAGTCGAACCCTGGATCCATTACATGAGGATCAAGAAGGCGGCAGCAGGAGATAAGTGGACAGTGGTGCCCCAAGCAGATAACCCCCTACAAATTAAGATCAAAAGAGAGACTTAATGAATTGTACTTGGGAACAAGGACCCTCTTATACAGAGTTAGATTGTCCACAAGGGACAGTATTATTTATTATAATATGCGTTTAGTTTCTGGCTCTTGTGGCATTATGGAGACCAAAATTTTGATTCTTTGGGGAACACTTAGTTTAGCAACAATAGCTAGCCCGATAGAAGAAAATTTGATATTGAAACTACTCCAAGGATTTGGTAAATTGCGTAACACCACTAGTACTACTGCTTGTCTCCTGCTCCCAAAATCAAGTAAAAATCCAGTTGAATGGGGGATCCTAGTGCCAGACTTACAAACATTACAAAACTTGAGTCAGATCCTGACTACTTTAGAAAAAGCTGGAGCCATTCATTTTATAAAAAATGGCACTCATTGGGGCAGAATGACATGGTCAAGTTACAACGCTGATACTATAGTAATTAACTGAAATCAGACCAGAGCTGGTGAAGGACATGCAGTAGTGAAGGTGATAACCGAAATGAACTATGTACAGGGAAAAAGGTGTCTCTTATGGGCGGCCTACCAGGTATGAGTCTGTGTATTTCTGATATTACTCAATCCCATGAACAAGTCCAAGAGATTAGTCAAAATTGGATGACTAATAAATGTGATATTTTAAAGGAAAATTATTACAAGCCTGTATGGAAAGGTCCCAAAGCTGATAATTGGCATTATATGAAACCAACCTTTTGGTGCTTTGAATGGATAGGGGAACAAAACGCCAATAAGTCAGAATTGACTAATTACAAAGGAATAGGCCGACTTGATAGGGGATTGATAAAGCAGAATTGGAATATTCAACTGTTCTTATCCCGGCGTTATATCAAGCATACCTCATATGGCTTTGACTGTTGGATGATGTTGTAGAAATTATTCAATCAGTTCATCGATGAGGACGCATCAAGACATACAGTGTAATACCATTACAATACCTGCACCCGGATATTCAGTCTGGGTGCTCAGTGATGGTACATGGACCAATCGACTCCCAGTTCAAAGTCTAACTCACCAGATAACTTTGGGAATATTAACTTCATGGAGGATTAATCCACTAACTCCCCTATTATGGAGTAAAGTTAAGAGAAATTCTGAAGATCCATGGCAAGAACCATCTACTTCTGTCAAGGTGGGGTGGGCATTAGAATCTTTATTTAGTCCCCAGGCCATGTCTTTTCAGAACCGATGGCTCATACAGAACCTGACAGCACAAGTAGAGGTCTTGGCTAACGCTACTAATGAAGGATTACTGGCAATAAACAAACAGGTGCAGGCCAACAGTGAAATAACGATGCAAAATAGGTTGGCATTAGATTTATTATTAGCCTGTGAACATGGATTGTGTGGTTATTTACATCTTAATGAAGAACACTGTTGTATACATATCCTGAACGTAACCCAAGAATTAAATGTGCAATTGAATAGGATGAAAGAAATAACTCAGAGTACTAGAATCCTTAGGGAGACAGGGGGACCAGCTGGTTGAATCAGATTCTTCAAAGAATTAGTGGATGGACTTTAACTGGATGGTTAACAAGTTTGATACAGAGTATAATAATAATAATAATAATAGTGATTATCATAGTAGTTTGTATTCTTTTTGGATGCATAAAGCAGGCTCTAATGAAAACCTTGTTCAATAGTAAAATAATGATGATGCAAAATTACAGAAGTCTTGAAGATGACTATTAGTACAACGTCAAGATTTCCAAAGGGGGGAATTGATACCAGCAGGGTTTAAACATAACCTTATGTAAATATGTTCTAGTTATTGTAGCTTTAGCTATCGTGCAGAGCATTCACGAGGTCAAGGATGGAATTTTGTAACAGGAACTTATCTTAGAATAACAACCACAAGGACTTGAGCAATTAAGGATGTATAGAATGCTTACAAAGATTTTGGAAAAATAACATCCATAGTGGCGTCCTGAAGTTAACCGCCTCGGAATGAGTAGGGGGCACCTACCCAAACGACCACCGACGACCACTCGGGACCCCCGTGCATGCTTAGAATAGTTTTGCAAGGTTAGCAATATGTAAATGTAGTAGATAAGAAGGGTCAATGTGACGTATATGCCATACTAATGAATTATGCAAACTTGAGTGTATAAATATGCTAAGTTTTCTGTTTAACCTTACACTTGATTTGGTGTAAGTGTGTCCGATTCTGCGCACTATTGAATAAAGCAATGTCTCCTTTCTAAACGTAGCCTTTTATCTGCGTTTCGGGAGTTAGAGTAAAACGATAACACGAGGACCATGTTTCTCAAATGATTCCTTCAAGAAAAATTTCATCCAAGCCTATAAAGGTTATCCTGTGGCAGCATCGTCCTAGTGCCTCTGTCGGAGGCTCTCGTTCCTTCACTTGAATGCTCAAGAATTGGTTCTGCGTAAGATCTGATAATTCTTGCTGTGCTGTCCCCTTCCGTGCTCTCTGCTTTGCCTCCTGCTTTTTAATACGTCTGATCTTGACAGAGTGGAAAAGTTAAACCTAAAAATAAGTTCCTGAGCTCATTCCCATTTGTGGTATACATGTGTGTATGAACATGTTTGTGTGACAGTATATCATCTGATATAGTGCATTTCTTTTTAAACATCTGTGGGGATGGGTCGGGAAGGCTCATATAACGCTGAAGTCTGAAGAACTGGGTTTTTACTCATGGGAGAGTAAAGAAAAAATTTCACTTAGGAATTGCCCCCAGCCTGTGGGGCATTCAAAATCAGTATTAGATTCGCATTCAGGATGTATTTGCAGATCTCTGTCAGTGTGCTGCTGGTGAAGAGAATAGCTTTGACTTTGAATGGGGTAAATTAGGCAAGTTCTGCTGTCACCTTTTAAAAAGAAAATTTAATCGAGTTTTGATTTGTTCCTTTAATGAATCATTGGTGCATTGTATGTGTCTGTGTATATTGCTGTATGGTTTGTTATTATGAGGCCAAATCCTGACAACTTATTGTAAAATTGTTTTAATTTATTATTAATATTTTTTGTTTTTCTCATTTCTCCTGGTTTTGGAGCCTTTATAATTAGATATAATTAAAACCACAGGTTTTAAACTCCAGTCTAACATTTAAACTCATATTTATGGTGCAACCCCTGGAGTTTTATTGTCATTCCAACTGCATTTTGGAAAAAAAAATTTTTTTTTTTTTTTTTGCATCTGTTCAAATGCTATGTCTACAGCTACCACTTAATCAGCTGTTTTGCACAGTAAAACGACATTTATTTTACACGGTAAGAAACCTTGCCGTTTTATAGAGTAGCTATTCTGTATCCCTTAACAAAAGGGTGCAAGGGACCTTTTGCCTTGTATACTTTAAAAACAGCTTTCCTCTTTTTGAACTTGTTTGTCTTTCTCTGTTCCTCCACGCAACAGTCTGAAAGTGCTACATGCTGTAGAAAGAATTTTAAAAAAATGTTGTTGGCTGGCATTATGTAAAACCATATTTTCCCTTTTGATGCGTATGTTCTGGTCCTAGCAATGTCCTTGTTTTGCTGAAATTAACATTTTTCCCCTCATAGTCATTGGTATGTGATGGTGTTTTTCTGTCTTCTTTAATTGTGATGCTTATTTTTTTTTTTAGTATAGGGTTGATTCTTAAAATTAAGTGGCAGAAGGCTTCTTTCCAAGTTATTCAGAGATCTTTTGCTGAAGAAATATATTTTGCTACTCTCAATTGCCTTTTTCCCCTTCTTCTTTCATTGCAACCTACTCTGGGAAGAGCTTCTTTTAACAAAAAAAAAAAGAAAAAAAAAAAGAAAAAGGCTACGCTTGACTGATAATGCATTGCTTTGGATGGTGAAACATTATGAAAGTTTAATTTTTAATTAAATCTGAAATACCAATTATAACTGAAAGAGATTTTAACCTGTTTCTTTTCAGACTGCCTGAAGTTACATTGTAGATGCTGAAATCACTGCACCTTAAAAACAAAAAGATTAAGCTGCACTGCATTCCTGTAAGTAAAAGCTTTTCTGGTACCTTTTGTCCGTATTTTTCCTCTATATGCATCCAAAGTGTTAGCACAGTAGCTGGTCTTGGATAAAGGTCAGAGTCCCCTTGAATGGGATTTAGAAGTTCAAAGGATGTTTTATTTAAAAATTAAAACGGAACTTACATCTTGCCGATCTTTAATTTCAGACCCCTGAATAGATCATTCTTTTCTGCTTTGTTTTGAGTATCCTTAGGAATAGTGTGCATCTCTGTCTGTTGACTTACAGTTCCTGTTGCTTTGTCAGTGAGGATTTCTGCACTTTGGTGCAGAGATAACAGCAAGTAGCGGAAGATTCCTTATAGCATAAAATATAGTTTATTCTCTTTTTGTGATGTTATAACAATTTTTTCTCTGTTATACAAGAAAAAACCGAACAACTTTCTGATGACATCACAGGGGGCTTCAGCTGCTTTAGGGTGTAGACGAAGACAGAAATGCTTCATTCATCTGTGCTGTGACACAACACAGCAGTCAAAATATAACGTCTTATGTCTCTCAGCAAGAAAGGAGTCTCTTTCTAAGAGCATAGTTATTCCATAAATGCAAGTCAGATTGTACATCAGTCTGATCTAGCCTTATTTAGAATCTGTTTATTGAATGTATTTGGGACAATAATTAAGATTTGGAACTTCAGTGGCTGAACAACAGGCACGCAAAAGAGGATTGGAAAATACAATAGACTCAGATACTCTGAATTTAATGAAATAATATATGAATAAAAATCCAGGAGAATGTATTGTCAGTGAGGATTTCTGCACTTTGGTGCAGAGATAACAGCAAGTAGCGGAAGATTCCTTATAGCATAAAATATAGTTTATTCTCTTTTTGTGATGTTATAACAATTTTTTCTCTGTTATACAAGAAAAAACCGAACAACTTTCTGATGACATCACAGGGGGCTTCAGCTGCTTTAGGGTGTAGACGAAGACAGAAATGCTTCATTCATCTGTGCTGTGACACAACACAGCAGTCAAAATATAACGTCTTATGTCTCTCAGCAAGAAAGGAGTCTCTTTCTAAGAGCATAGTTATTCCATAAATGCAAGTCAGATTGTACATCAGTCTGATCTAGCCTTATTTAGAATCTGTTTATTGAATGTATTTGGGACAATAATTAAGATTTGGAACTTCAGTGGCTGAACAACAGGCACGCAAAAGAGGATTGGAAAATACAATAGACTCAGATACTCTGAATTTAATGAAATAATATATGAATAAAAATCCAGGAGCTTGTAGATAGTAGGAAAAAAAATTGATTAGTTGGACAGTACAAAGCTGTGGAATATTACAAAGCAAAGTTGGTTTGTTTTCTTGTTTAAGATCAAACTGTGCAGTCTGTAATGAAATCCAGAGCCTTCTTACACAGTGGTACTTCTGCACTTCAGTGTTAAAGTATTTTAACTATTACATATGATTTTTCCTTTTTTCCTCCCTCTCCCTCCCCCCCCCCCCCCCTCCCGCCATATTCTCGCGTTTTTTTAAAATTGTATTTTAATGATTTATTTTAAACTAGCTGAAGGGTACAGTACACTGTGGGCAGCTAATGCATGCCCCTTCCAGCGTGGAGCGCCAAGCATGACTCAGGCAGGCAGATTGTGCCATGCTGGCTCTACTCCATTGTGTTTTTACATTACTGGCAAGGGCCGTGCCATTGTGTTGTTTAAATATTGTGTATTAACTGCAGGCTGTGGCCAGTGAATGGTATTTAACATTTTCTGCTCATCATTCCTGAATATGAGCAGCTTCCCTGGCCACCAGAGGTTAACCTTGCAATTACACTGGTGAGCCGAGTTGAAAACACTCATGGATTTGCTGGTTCCAGCAGCAATTTCAAGGGAGGTGTTGGGGGAAAAGTGGGGGAACACTTCTGATTCTGTGAGTACAGAATTTCGAAGCTGTCTTGCAATTTTGTGTGAACAACCGGGAGAATTTTTGTTGGAAAGTAGAAGTAATTCTCTTTCCAAAATGCAGCAGCAGAGCGGGGAGTGAATTAAAGCAAGTTCTTTGAATCCTTAGGCTCCAGATGGTCAGTAAGTCCTGCATGGACAGCCCTAAGGCAAAATACCAGGTAGCAATATATGGGCCTGATGAGTGGTGCTGGCTGGAATGGGCGTTTTTTAGTTTTTTATGAGACTCTAGGCTTTGGAGGAGAAATAAATGCACAAGTGTAAAACTCGTGTTTTGTTTTATCAAGGGTGGCGAGCACATCAAGGCAGAGATGTTGAGCAGTTTGCTCAAGGTCAGAGTAAATCAGCAGTCAAACTGGGAATGGCGCGTGGGGTCACGACTCCCAAGTCTGTTCTGTTCTGCCCAGTTCTTCTTTCCATTCCATGAAGTAAAGGTCCAAGTTTCTAATCTTTGAGTTTCTTGTGCCATTTGCTTTTTCAAAAAAAAATACCCCACCTGTAAACTTCTAGCTGCTCCTAAGTTCTGTAGCCTTGCCATACAGCCTGTTTCTGGAATACAGAAGCACAAGGTGGGGGAACTTTTACGTATGCACGTGTATGCTGTAAGATGAGGATGTGATTCTTGCTATACCTTGTGTCCACGTAACTAGTAACTTGTCACAATAAAAATGGGGCACCTTCTTTATAGAGGAAAGTATGCTTTAAGGATTTCCTTTGTTTCCTATGTATGTTTGCCGTAATCAGGTGTCTCTAATTGTAAGATCTTTAATAAAGTGAACTTCCCAGTTTGGCTTTCCTGTATTAACCTGAAAACACGAAGAAGAAAAGGCAAGCCATGCTCTGGTAGTTTTCTGTTTTTTTTTTTTGAATTGGGTTTCTTTAATTGAAGGGTGGAAAACTTGCTTTAGGGTAGGGATGTCCCTAAAGCAGCTGATTAATATAAGGTGGGCCAGATTTTCGGCCGATACGAAAATATGCTTCACTTGATAAATGGCATTAGAAGAAAATACAGATTCACAACACGTGAACATCTGGCAGGCAGTTGCATAAAAACACAACCTTCTAAATGTAGTGCAGGCATGCTTTTAATGGAAAAGGTCTGTGGGCTGGATTCTTGCTATGTTGGGTGCACTGGCCATGTTTTGCTATGTACTAAAGTTACGTGGATTAATAGGCAAGTAGATCCATTGAGGTCCATGGGACTACTCAAATACTTAACTTTAAGGATGTGGTTAAGTACTTTGCTGTTTGCAACTAACCCCAAATAGGATTAAGTCTAGTATGAGGAACTACCTCTGCTCTCATTCAGCGTCTACTTGATTTTAGAAGGGGACAGTGAAAGCATATTGTATGGGAAAGAAAAAGATTCTGTTCACACAACCTGAAAACCTACACAAGAGACACCCTGGATGTGCTTTCAAAGCAATGGTTTTAGTTATATTGCCATCGGCTAAGGCCAATAAGGAGTATATGACACATTATTTTTGTTAAAAAGAGAGATTTTTTCAAGGTTTCAGCCTTATGCAGCCTTGTGATCTGATTACTGACCAAGAGATCCGGTGCTCTAATCTTGACGGATGCTGGCTCAGTGAGTGGCATTGGACAAGTCATTTAACCTCGCTGTGCCTTGTTCAGCAGATCACTTTTTAAATCTAGTTCAAACTGATACAGCTCTGTGAACATTATTGAGTTTGTGTTTGCAAAGCTCTTAGAGGAGAAATAGTAACCATTGTTAGTATTAATAAGTATATTGTGTAGACAAATCACGAGGGATGGAGATACAGCCACACATGGGGGTGATCTTTCACAACTCACTTGTGCCTTTGTTTAATTCCATCATTCAAAGGTATCAAGGCCAACTCCGTTTTACAGAAGTATTTCTCATGTCACTCTCCCCACCGTTGAGTATTTTATTGTTCGTGTTCTCTCTCCGTCTGTTTCTCTGCTACTTTCCTACATGCTGAATTAACCTTGCATACCAAACTTTATTCCCCTTTTTTGTATTATACAGCAGACACATTTGTGTAGCCTCCAAATTACAGAAAGCAAATTCATTTTGTCTAGTGATTGTTTGCTGGCGATGTATGAAACAGACAGAAGACAGTCTGAATTTTCATAAGTTCAATTGAGCTTGCAGGCATAAGGAAAGGAACAGGCAGAGCCCAAGCCAGTGTGACACAGTAAGCTGGCATCCCAGAGTGCGTGCTGCATGTGTAGCGTCAGGATGTCAGGGCTGAGAAGGGCTTCGTCCATCACAGTAGTGCTTTTAAATGAAGGAAGAGTTTTGAAGCAACAAACAGGCTACCCTACTGTGTTCTTTACAGCGCAAGAATCCTCGCGGTTCCTGATGGATATGGGATATGTCCTTCCCTCTTGTAACTTGCTGTTTTAACTAGAATTTCATGTCTAAGATGGGCTTTGTTGAGCCCTGCAAATTCCCAGTTCCTATTCCTCTGACAAAATGTAAACCCTCAATAGTTTAGGCCGGGTTTGTTTTGGTTTTTTTTGGTTTTTTTTTTTTAATGCAGAAGATACTGGCTTGTAGAAGCTACACTGGAGAAGACGTGTACAAATGTGAAATGACTATGGAAGTGTGCTTCCTTTGAACAAAGATCAATGTCTTGGGGCTGACTGTCACTGAGGAATTGTGTTAGCACTAACAAAGAGAATTAATTTTGCCTTTTCCCCTTCCTATACCAAGGCATTAATCCAGAAGCTCACAGGGATAAATTCTGCCCTGATTTCTACCTGTGGAACCCCAGTGGAAATGTGGAGAGGTCAAAAATGTTTGTCAAGGCAGAAATTGTCCTAGTGTTAAAATTGTTGAGAAAGCAGAAACTGGTTGATTGTTATCTGGCCCAGGGGCAAGAGGGATACGTAGGAGCCCTACGTGGCATTATATGCTTCTGAAAGTGTTGCTTTTGTTGTATGTTAAGGAGAATATGAAAAAAATATTCTAGCGAGTGAAAAGTTATAATCAGGAGCACAGTGATTAATTGTTCTTCATATCCACTGGGAGAAAGACCTAAAGAAATCAGTTCAATGAGCAGTGAAAAT